GTGTGAGCGTGTTTTGTTGTGAGCGAAGTTTAGCTAACAACTCTCGGCTCTTTGTCTTCCGTGACTCGCCTTTGAACCTTGAGAATGCTGCATGCCTCGTTTCATAGTGCCTGCGGATATTGTACTCTTTTAGCACAGCGACAGACTGACCGCAAATTAAGCAGACCGCCTTCGAATTAATATTCGTAAAAAAATATTCTTCCTCCCAGGTTCGTTTAGAATGCCTTTTGTCTGTGTGCCACTGTCTACTGCTCTCCATGTTGCTTGCTACTGCTCTGTTCTTGTTGTTGTTGTTGTTGTTGTTCTTCTTCTTTTTTTTCTTCTTCTTCTTCTCCTTGTTTTATTGGCGGGTTGAAAGCTGAGCTGGGAGCTGCTTGACCTGACAACTGGGGTGGCATAATAAATTGTGGGGGGCCAAGAAATGTCCCCGCCGGCCAAAACAAATGTTCCGCGGGCCCCACTTTGGGCACCCCTGGTCTAAAGGCTGATTCTGTTAGTTTCAGGTTGTTAACTGTAAAATGTGACAGTTTTGGGTTTAAAACATACAGTAACATGAAGATATTCTGTGGCTCTTTCTACCATGTGTATTCCTGACATTATGATCTCATTTAGCAGACTCAAGTTAACCATGAAAGCAGTAGTGGCTTTGGTTTTTTGCCCAGACGTGCGCTCCACACTCTTCTTAAAATAGGCCCAACTGGCTCTGTCCAAAGACCAGACCTCACAAAATACTTCAGTTAAGGTGTCCACAAGCTAAAAGGCCCGAGTTAGCAGGGAGCACTTCACTATGTGTCCATGCTGTTATTCAAACTAGGAGCGGTGAGTAAAGGTCTTTCTCTCCGGGGATAAAGTGAAGAGCTTGTTGATTTACGCTCCTTCATTAGCGTCTCTCTGAGCCCGGCCTCTGTCGATGGAGAATCTAACTGTTGGTTTTTACGTTCTGACAAATGAAGCAGAAACTCTGCAGTTCAGGCAGATGTTTCCCTCAAAACTAAAATGTTTGAGTTTTAATTTGCTCCAGTGACTGATGATGGGGGAACAGACGGTGTTTAAAGAAGAGACACATCCCTTATTTAACTGCTGTGTGTTTAGTGTTAATAAGGAATCAGAGCGTGTTAAAGAGAGCTGAAGGCCTTTTAATTAGCACAACTGTCTGTGTTAAAACCTGCCTCTGTGCACTCGGAGGTGAAAGCTGGTGAAAGTTTCTGCTCTGGCAGTGAGATTTACTGAAGGGTTAACAAGAACAAATGCCCCGTCTTTAGCATGTTTGTTTTTCTTTTTGTTTTGAGTTGTTGTTTGTTTATTTGTTTTTTGTTTTAGTGATATTTTTCTTTCTTCTTTGTAACTTTTTTCCACTATGTTTAGTATATACACTGGTTTTGAGCAGTTATTTTAGTTATTTTCACCTACACTATGTTTATAGACAAAAGGCTGGTTTTGAGTGAACTTGCTGGGCTGTGGTCGACAACTAAAAGCACAGTGTAAAAATACTACATTAGAAGAAGTCCTGGGCGGCACAGCAGTGCAGTGGTTAGCGCTGTCACCAGGTTCGAGCCCCGGCAAATCTGGGGCATTTCTCTGTGGAGGCTGCATGTTCTCCCTGTGCCTGCGTGGCTTCTCACACAGTATTATTTTTAGGATCTCCAGTAGAGATTTAAACAAACCCCTGTGAGATTTGCTTTATAGACTGGTTATTCATATATGTCAAATGGCTCCCTGGTCATTTATAGAGCTCATTCACTCAGTTTTACCAGCTTGACCCTCTGACAGTGCTCAGTTTTAACAGTAACACCTGAACATTGGCTCTATAAATCAATAAAAGCGGATAACCCTCTGTTTATGCAAATGGAGCTGAGGCAGGTTGTCTATTTGAATACAGGAGTCATGGCGAGAACACACAGCTCCATCAGTCAGTCCAGACACAGAGTGGTTTATAACCTGTAATATAAAATCAGCCTACTACAGCTCCATACACCTCATTCACACTTTTACTTACTATTAGTTGGTGTGATTTTTTGCATTTCCTGTGGCATCATTACACTTGATTGTCAGCAAGTTAAGACATAAAAATAAGGATTAAATGGCCAAAAATGTCCTATTGAATCATTCTCAGTCATCAGTGTTCCCTAGTAAACTGCACCTGAGCAAAGCACTGACTATATCTATGAGGTGCAGTGAGGAATGTCAAATAAATGCTAACTAATGTTGACTGTGAAAAAAATGATTAGCGCAGCAACTTCAGATGTGACTAAAAAGATTATAAAATTAACAAAGGAAGAGTCACTGAAAGATGGTACGAGAAATCTGGAAGTTGGGTGGCTTCCCAACATGAACAGGTCGAGAGAAACGGAAAACAAAACTAGAGGCACATTCGAGTCACATCATTCAGACCATAGTCAATATGAAAAGGCTCAAGGCTCAAGGTGGGCGTAAAGTGGGCGTAGCAAGGCGTGATGTCACCCATTAGTTCGCACTGAAGCCAGTTTGAAGCTGCAGCTTATAGTCTGTGCCATCTTCTCCTCTTGGAGCCAGGACCTTCCAAATTTACCTTGGACCGAATGCTAGCTCACAAAAACAGCAGCCACACTTCTATCCTGCTCCCTGCTGAGCTACAAATGTTATGTTCCACACTGCCAGGTGTGCCAGTTTCTGTTTGATAACAGTAAACCTAACCTTATGTATAAAATACTAAAAACACCACCTCGGCACCAGAGACACTATTGGCTAGGCAATTAGCAGGCTCCTCTCGGGACTGCAAATTTATAAAAGTACTTAATGCTAGTGTTAGCTTTGCGAGCTAAACTATACTAAGACACCAGTTATTGTAAACAAGTACCTTTAACCTTAATGCTAAGATCACTGGTTTTGTTATTTTGTACAAATAAGAACACAAACAGCATCTCACCATCACTCTGTGCCGTAGACCTCCACTGTTGTCCACCAGCTATTAAACCCCCCCCATTGAACCACACCGCTGCACTGGGGGGCAGGTTTCCTCCTCAGGAAAGACGGGAGGCCGTCTGTTTCCAACACACACGTCGTTCTGTGCAGCGTGAGGAGCTGAGTAGTGCAAACAGAGCAGAGATCATCAGTATAGTGTATTCAGCATATGTAACATCTAAATGAAATCACTATGACATGATTATTTTTTCAGACTTGACAAACCAAGCTGGAGGAGTCAACTGATTTTAATGTGTAACAAATTCTCCTTTAATTTTACAGTCATACACATTTCTAGTTCGAGCGTTTTCCAGTTCGAGTGTAACTGATTTTTGGTGATGTCTGTGCATTTTACAGATGGAAAGACACGGACTAAAGACAAGTACCGGGTGGTTTACACAGACCACCAGCGTCTGGAGCTGGAGAAGGAGTTTCACTATAGCAAGTACATCACCATCAGGAGGAAGGCGGAGCTCGCCATGTCGCTCAGCCTGTCAGAGAGACAGGTACACCTTAAGGCTGTTGAAATGACTTTACTGCACTTTCACTGGATTGTTATGAGCAGTGGATACTAAACCCAGCTGGATGATGGAGGGTAGTGATCTGCCATATTGCTTCAGACTGAAATATCACAGCAACTATTCAATGGAGTGACATGAAATATGGTTCAGAGGCTGAATGCCCTTCCCATCAGCCTCAGCTGTACTTTTAGCGCTAGTTAACCAGTATTAGCATGCGGACATGCTACACTAGGTTGGTGAATATCAAAGCACTTCTGTGCTGAGGCACAGCCCAGCAGAGCTGCTAGCTCCAGCTCCTCCAACCAGCCTTTAACTGATGGAACACAATCTCATATATAGTAGATGTATATATAGTCAGTCTGCTCTTTTAGAAATTATGTTTACATAGCAAATTTGTTTAGAAAGCATCTTGTTCTGTTAACACAGTGTGGAATGTTGTCAGCATATTTGGCCAGTCGCACAAATCTTGATCATGAACAGATCAGTAAATTGTATTTGTGTTGTGCTAAAACATCTGACACTACAGTGCAATTTCCACTTGCAGCAACTGCAGCATTATTAATCTGTTTCTGTTAATCTGTTAGGCTCTCACAGCTCTAGGTTAATGTTAGAAAAAGGCTGTAACTCTAACTGCAACCAATGCTTCTGGCAGACTGTCCTCCATTGTACACATTTTCCTGAGTTGTGCATGTATTTGGCTGCTGTACAATCACGATGTCTGTATTAAAAACACCTTTCCCTGCTCTAGGTGAAGATCTGGTTCCAGAACCGCCGGGCGAAGGAGCGCAAAATCAACAAGAAGAAGCTCCAGCAGCCAGCCTCCTCCACTACCACGGCCACCCTTCCCAGCACCGGGGGAGGAGGAGGAGGAGGTGGTGGAGGAGGGGGTCTCCATGGAAATGGCAGCGTCGCCATGGTAACGAGCAGCAGCGGCAACAACGGGCTGGTATCCCCTTCATCGCTGCCTTTGAACATCAAAGAGGAGTACTGAGGAGGAGGTTTCACTGGACCCTGGTGTCTGGGACCTGAACTGGAAGTTCTCCCCTCTGAACTAAAAAACCTTTAACATTACATCCCACCCCTGTGTTCGCCCTCTCAGAGCTAAAGCTGCTTAAACACTTGAGGAAATATCAATGGGCGACGTCACCAGCAGCAGTACTTCTGTACTTCAGACTTTTGTTGCAGATCATTCCCGGTTCACTCCCCGGGATGTCACCCATTACAGGCTATTGTATGTCTGAAAGACTTCCTAAACACATCTTGCTCTGGTTGGAGCTCTATGGCACCGCAAGTCTGGGAAAAAATGAGAAAATGTGATCAGATCTTGAGCTGTCAGCTGAAGATATTTTAGCTCCTGAACTTCAAACTCAGTGAATTTTCTTTTCTTTTCTTGTGAAGATACAAAGTTCCAAAAGACCCCAAACACATCTTGCTAACATTTGGAGAAATTAAACAAAAAAACTGAATATTTACAGTCGATGGAACAATGCAACCATAAAAAACATGGAGTCTTGGGTTTGATTATTTCTCTTAGTGTAAACATCATTTAACTTCAGCCGTAGCAGTATGTATGATGCTGTTAGACAGGGTGGTAAATGTTTTGTTTTTGTTTGTTTTTTTATTTTAAAGCAACTTAAAGAGGTAAATTTTTAGAGTAAATTCTATTTTTAGTTTGATGATGATGTGATTTTTGAAATGTTATTATCCTACTTCATTAAAAAGTGTTTTCTCAACCTACAGAAAACAAAGAAATCTTTAGAGTTAGCAGCCCTGCTGTTTGTGTTTGTGGTTCTGTGTTGCTGCACAAAGTGTGAACAGGAACAGCAACTTAGCAATACATGGTATATAAATAATATAAATAAACTGTAAATGTAAAGTCGAAATAGAGGGAGCAGCTGCTTCCTCGAGTCTTTTATCCTTCTATTCTACATGTTACTAAACACAGGACTCTCCTGGTGATTGTAGCAATCATATAAGCTTATATGATGACGGCCCATTTTAATTTTTATCACCTGGGGCCACAGCTGGAGGATGGAGACAATTTACTCTTGTGATGCAAATTCCAAATGTATGTGGGGTGAATTCAGTGACAGGGCCAAAACAAATCTGGGGCTTTGGGACCTTCATATTCATGTCTCTGTCTGTCAAAGGACCACAGGTCTGGCTCAAAGTGGAATCAACTCTAAATGTCTTGTAAATGTTTATGATCGCAGACTTTATCATGTACATATTTCCAAATGTAATTTGTATTAAAACCAAAAGGCTTTATTGTAAAGACGGCTGCTGATCTTTGTTTTCTCTTTAAGGCACATCAGATATAATGCCTTCATCCAAATCTAGTTGAAAACGTATTTACAGTGCATTTAGAGAAAATCTTCAGATTTGTGAACATGAGCTGACTTGGTGATGAGAGAAACACTGATGAAGCTGATTCTCCAGTCATGAAGAAGGTCATGGCCTCCTCATCTCTCCATAGACCCGAGGTCTTCAGCTCCTTAGTGACATTTGAAGGATAAGGTCAGTCATTTTCTATATTAGCACTCTCCATATGGAGACTAAAACTGGCAGTAAGTTGCCTCTACTCACAGTTAATGTCTGTCAGTGTGTCAGTCCTGGATCAGCTTGTTTGTGCCATAAACCTCCAGTGTCAATGAAGTACACCGCTGCATTGGGAGACATGTTTCTTAATTAGCAAACCGAACCTGAGCATGAGGAGCTAGCAGAGGGTAAACAAAACTGAGAGCTAGCACATGTACAGTTGATGGTGACTCGTGCTGACTTCAGGAAATTATGTCTGCTCAGAGCCTTTGGGGCAACAACGTTAGGCCTTTTTTTTCTCCAAAAAGGAAAAACATTCAGTTTACAATCAGATATGACAAAGCAAAGCAGACTGAGAAGGTAGAACCAATCAATGTCTGAGCTTTTGCTTGAAAAATGATAAAAGGAAAACTGGAAAATTTCACTCAATGAACAAATTGCAGTCTAATGGGATTTATTTAAAGGGTGTGTACCAGGAATGTTTTCCCATGTGCTGCTGCAGTTTTTACATGAATCTGGCAACACTGAAATCTTGCTCAGTTTTAAATAAAGAGCAAAACAGGAGAAAAAGGAGAGGAAAAACCAAGTAGATGCAAAGCAAGAAGCAGTTCACGATGAAGCCCATTCACACACTGCATGTATTTACTAACTGATGTGGATGCGACAGTTGAGGTGTGGCGTCCAAAGGGCAGAGATGAACACTGACAAACACAGCACAGGATCCTGCTCTCTGCATTGTGTCTGCAGTCCTATATGTGTGTGTGTGGGTGTGTGTCTGGGTGCCCGCACTCAGACCTTTGTCCTTCTGGGTCCATTTTATCTCCAACAGCACTGACAGACAATATTAGTGGTAAGCATTGCACCTGGGTGACAGGGGACAGTTAGAATGTCCACTTTGGTTCTGGACAATATATAACATTTTAAAAAAGAAGTGTACACTAAAATTAGTTCAAACCTTCTCAGGCATGTATTCGCTGATGCTCTGATGTGTTGATAGATTAAATTGTGATGTTTGTTGCTTGTCTGACTGTGCTGTCAGTTTAAAGGATGCAGAGGGTGATTTGTTTTATTTTATTTTATTTTATTTTTTTGCATAAATCCCATCCAGCATCAATGAATGTGGTGTACTCACCCACTAGGAGCAAGCCCCAGGATCAGCGCTGGGCTGGGAAGCAAATCTGGTGTAGCAACCAAAGCACGCTACTACAATGCCATGAGAGCACCATCCTCATCCAGGAAGTGGACCTCAAAGAAAAGAATGGTTAGAAATCAGAACAACAAAACCAATCCAACAAATAATGCCACTGTATTAATCAACTAAAGTGGATCCACAATGTAGATGATAAACATACTTTACACACTCAACCCAGCATCCATTCATAAAATATTTGGCAACGGATGCTCTCATGGATCCTTGCTTATGGCTCCTCCGGCTGCCTCCTTCGACCAGAACGACTTCGAGCAAGCACCAAGTGCCGAGTAATGATCATATCAGAGACACAACAAACACCCCTTGTTTCCTTGCTACTCGCTCCTCAGGCCAGGAATAAGAGCTTTGAGATGTGCTTCAAGATGGCAGACTGAAAAAACATCTGGGTAGAGCACAGAACAGTTAGTTGAGCAAATCAGGTTTTACCTTTGCTTGGATGAGTGACACGGAGGGGAGATTTGTGCTTTATTGGATGAGTGTTCAATTAGTTCTGATTGTACAAGACAAAACACTTTAATGAATGAGGACCAAGTGCTGGGTTTTACAAATGTTTATGTTTTGTTCTGGACTGAAACAGGGGCCATGGAAGCTTTCACTTACATAAACTTAAAGTAACGAACCAATCTGGATTTCACAAGCTGCATGTCTCTGACTACCTCAAATCATTTTGTCGACTCTAGTTCAACAACTTCATATTGTTGTCCGGACCTTCATGCTACCAGTTGGGCGATCTGTACAAAAATAATATGTTTTCTCAAGAGAAATATTCCTTTATACATTGACTTCTGTGACCTAAACATGCACAGAGTGACCACGTTGTGAGTGGCAACAGCCTTCGCTGCCTCTTCACTGCCATAAAGTTTATTGGGGGGTGGATGCAGTAAAAATGGTTTCACCACAGAGACGCAGATATGTTTGCTGAGGAGGCGTGACGAGCTCAGACACCTACAACAAACGGCATGAAAGGAGATTTGTGGAATTAGAGGAGGCTTCATTTTAGGCAGTAACATCTGCTTCAAGCAGCATCTGAGACCAAGTTTACTTTCTTACATTAACTATGTATTATAAATCCAATTTACTGCACATTATACTTCATTTTCATGCCAAATAATTCAAATAAAATATCACTTACTGCATTGGTGTATTTTAATATACAACACAACTTACAGGCAAGTAAATATGCAGAGTTTCTTGAGCTGCACAGAGCTGACGTCGGGAGGATTTTGATGCTCTGTGAAACAAATGTATAAAACTGATCACTATGAGCAGCTGTAGATTCAAAGCAATAAAACTAAATACAATTAACAAATACATGACCACAGATTATTACAGGTTAAAATAATCATCAGTCTGCCGAACATCAGGCCAGTCAAATGAGCTTCACCTTCCCCTGCTGCAACACAATCATTCTGTAATATACATTATTCTGAAAATGTCATTCTGCATGGCTGCTTTTGGTACCTTAAGTATATTTTGTTCTTTTACTTAGGTACCATTGTGAATGCAGGTTTTTACTTTTTACATTGTGGTTTTTCTACTTTTACTTAAAAAATAATCCAAGAACTTCTTCCGACCCTGATTAATGTCAAACTGCTCGGTGTTTTTATGGCTGAAGCCTGGTGGTAGTGATGGTCTTCATGAGGAACAACATCCTCGATGTTTATCAGCAGGTCTAATGTCCATCTGGCAGCCAGTCAGAGGCCCATAAAGAGCAGCACGTCGAGGGCAACGGTGAAAATCGACAAAGCGAAAGTAACCTGGGCCTGTCCCATGGTTTTCTGCAATGAGATTCTTTTACATTATTGTCTATAATGTTCATCTTCTGTGGACCTCAGCAGTTAAATGTCGTTTCTAATAGTAGTTACCACTGACAACTGTAGGCCACGTGTTGTGTATCAGTCTGTCCTTCCTGGAAACCACACACATGTTCAAATATTGCATGTTTAGGAAGAGACTCCAGCGACACTATGATGACCTGACAGGGCCGGCGGCCATTTCACAGCAGCTTTCATCAGTGCCAAACAAAATGGCTGACAGCACAGCACTGCAGTGACGGCCTTGAACAAATCCCTCAGGCCTTAGGTTTGATGCAGCGCTACACTTAAAGCAAAGCCTCCAAATGCTCATGTTCAACTGTATGTTTAATGTGAAGACCCACATGAAACACCTCACCCTGTTGGGTTAAAGTGTGTGTATAGCCGATCAAAGATGTTTACTACATCATCATCTCTGTCAACAGAGCAAATAATTAGAGCAAATAAAAGTAAAAGACAGCAAAGTGAGCAAATAACTCTCGCCTCTTGCCTGCGTCCATAAACTGCCAGGGAATCGTCCCTTGCAGCAGCTCGTTCAGAATTATATAACCACATGTTTATGAGCCATTTTACCATAAACTTTCATTTACAATATAGTTACTGCCACTAATACGCCCCTGTATTGGCCACATTGATTGTGGATAAACAGTGGAGTTGTAAAGGACCAGTGCTGGAACGGTATTGCACTGTAAAGGGCAGATAATAGTGGAGACATGATGGAGACTCCCGGTATTCCCCTGGAATAGCTTCATAAAATGTAATCATACTTAACGAGGTTTGGTCTGCCCCAGTGAACACAGGGAGAGTATGAAATAAGAATTTTAATTAATTTTAAAAATTATGATGGATAAATAAAAATAAATACAAAGAAATATTTGAAAATGTGATGAATAATTTAAAAAATTTAATTCTAAGTGAAAAACTACACTATTATTTATTTCATTTTTATTAAGTAAATTGCACCAGTACCTAAATAACACTACAAAATAATAATGTAAAAATATTTTATGTGTAATTCATAATG